AAATAACAAGTTATCACATAAAATAACTATTCCAGTTGCTGACTATAAATATCATTATACTAAATAAAAAATGCATCCCGATCTTATTGAATAATGTAGTAGTAGTCCTATTCTCACATAGACCGCCATCAACAATAAATAGCCCCATATTTTAGTATTTGATTGGTCACGTTTACTAGTTTTTTTTTTTGTTTTTTTGAAGAATGTGTGATTAAAAAGTGTTTATAAATAATTTAAATCATAAATAGATAGAATTGACTAATGTACGAGTAGATAGATTTGACTCAATGAGTAGTATTTGTAAATCTCTCGAAATGTGTCGACGAGAAGTAGCTTGAATATTTATAAACATGGGCTAAATATATGTTTAGACATTATAAATTTTTGAATTAATTTAATTCAGATACTATTTATATTAGTTATTAAATTATGATAAAATATTTTTTATTCAATCTAATTCAACGTAACAATACACCATGATTTTGGAAATAACCTATATAGAGAAAAGTTGAGGCATTGAGAACTCATGTGCAAAAAGGAAAAAGGTCGAGGACCTATTTGTTAAATATTGAAAACTTCGGCTGTTGTTTCGTTTCCTTCCAGGTTTTTAACAGAGACTTCCACTTCTACTCGGAAAAGGTAAAGGTAAAGGTAATTCAAGAGACGTTCATCTAATATCTTTTTTAATTATAGACCCCAAATAGGTAGAAATCCTAATTTATATATATCCTATTTATGGTTAGGAAGTATATTGGAAATTGAGTTGCTAATTATGACAAGTTTATTAAAAATGAAAGGCAATTCGAGAAGCTATGTGCTCTCCTTTCTAACTGAATATCATTGAAAAACCCTTCTTTACATAACCCCACTTCATCCTATTTATAGACCTCTTCTATAGTTTATTGCCCACTTGTCCCTTCTGCTAACTGAATGGAAGAACCTTATGGAATCTGAAGTGATTCTATTTCCCGCGTTTACTCGCTAACAATTAAAAAGGGATCGGACAATTGTGTAAGAGACAAACTTCTTGGAACAAAGTCTCAAAAATGG